CCCCAAAACCCCAATCCCCAAAACCCCAAAACCCCAAAACCCCTACTTAAATGATCAAATTGATTTAGAAATAAAAATATGGGAGAAAACTCGATTGATTTTAAGAAGCTCCAGGATAAGGATTATAAGGTATGTTGGGATAGGATGGGTTAGATGTGTGAATTGGTCTTTGTATAAGCAGGTTTGACTTCTGTTGTACATTTAACTATCACCACACAAAACTTCCCTCCGTGACTCCCCAAACACTAAGCGGACCACTTTCCCTCTATATTTAATAAATGCTTCTAAATCCTTTTGGCTACCAGAAATATGCCAAATAAGGATGCTAGAAATGCCTTCATCGGCAGATCTGATACTGGTGAGATTTGGCCAGAAAGAAATTTTTGCACTTTAGAATAAAATAGAACATTTTTAAGGACCCACCAAGGCCATTTAGGCCACCAAGGGTGCTCAAACCACTCACCTGGATTTATAGGGAGAAGGATACGAAGTTGATAAGGAACTAGATGATGGTCCGCTCTCTGATGATAGAAGAAGTTGCACAGACATCGTCTTTTATGGAATATTTATTGTATTTTTGGTAGCGATGGGCGCAATCGCGGTCTATGGATATATAGCAGGAAACCCATGGAAGTTCTTATCTGGCGTTGATGCTAATGGAAGGTTTTGTGGGTATTCTGATGGCGTCGGAAACTACCCTAAGTTATACTTTGCTGATCTTAGTAGTACTGATACTGTGAAGAACACTTACGTCTGTGTTAAAGGTGATTGTCCAACTGACGATGCCAGTAAATCTATTGATTGTGTTGTCGCAGGACATGTAACTGACTGTAATGACCCAGCCTACACTAGATACAAAAGTAAGTCCTACATCGGAAGATATTGCTTGCCAATTAAAGATGAGCTACCAGATAATCTAAAGGAACAGTATGACGATCTGATTGATTGGCTTCAGTTGGATACGATCGGAGAATGGATCAATGATATAATTACAGCCTGGCCAGTCATTCTTATCTCCATCGTCCTTGCACTTATTCTCAGTCTGGTATTTATGTACCTCGTTGAGTATTTCGCTGCGGTACTTGCATGGATTTGTATTATTGTGTCATTCTTTTGTTTGTTAGGGCTTGGTTTTTATTTCTTCTTCACAAGAAACTCATCAAACAATGATGAATCAAACAACTCAAGTTACAACATAGTCTGGGCCATCATTTGCTGGGTAGGAGCTCTGGCAATCTTCTTATTTGTGTGTTGCTTCTGCAGTGCCTTGAGAATCGCAATTGGAGTTATTCAAGCCTCAGCTGATTTCATCACCGACACGAAGAGGATCCTGCTTGTCCCAATTATTGGATTTGTCTTCGTGATAATTTTCTATTTGCTCTGGGTCTCAGTTGCAATTCACATATACACAATTGGTGATATTTCCAGTACAGGAGGTTCAACCGGGCAAGGAAGAAGAGTAGAGTGGGAGAATTCTACAAGAAGAGTCTGGTACTTCCACATTTTTGGACTATTCTGGATGAACTCTTTCATCGATGCCTTCATTGGCTTCATTATTATTGTTGCAGCAGCTACATGGTACTTCTCCCATGGAACTGACAGAGAGGGCTCTGCTGAGACCTATAAAGGATTCAAGTGGATCTTTAGGTACCATCTCGGGTCACTTGCTCTTGGGTCTTTGATTATTGCAATTGCAGAATTGATTAAATGGACTTTTGAATATGTAAGAAAAAGACTTGAGAACGCTAACCCCACTAATGCTGCCTTAAAATTCTTCCTATGCTTGGTGAGCTACTGCATCTCTTGCTTAAACAGGATCATCAAATTCATTACAAAGAATGCATATATTCAGGTAGCATTGACATCGAAACATTTCTGTCTTTCAGCATTTAATGCGTTCATTCTGATCTTGAGAAACGCAGCTAGGTTCACTTTTGTGGAATGGATTGCCTTTATGTTCAATATTTTAGGGAAAATCTTGATTGTAACCCTCACTTGTCTCATTTCTTATATCATTTTGGAACTGTGGACTGGAATTAACAAGGACTTGAGTAGCTATCTTGGACCAATTCTGATGATAGCAGTTATTTCTTATTTAATTGCGATGGTGTTCTTCAGTGTGTTTTCAATTGCCGGGAATACGATCCTGCAATGTTTCATCTTGGATTATGAAATCTCTAACTCCATGGGAAGAGGATCAGCAGGCCATCAGCCACCTGCACTCAGGAAGTTTATCAAGCAGATGAAACAGTACAGAAGAGATAAGGGCGAAGAAGTATCTGACAGCGTCAGTGAGCAAAAGGATGAAGATGGGAGAAGGTACATGATGTAGTTCATTTTAGTTTCAAGCTAAATTTGAATAAGGGGTTTTGGGGTTTTGGGGTTTTGGGGTTTTGGGGTTTTGGGG